CGCTATACATGTTTTTAACGATTTTACACATTTTACCGTTCACACCATACTCAAGTAATTTTAGATATAAAGCATTATTCCAAACCAAGTATTTGGCCAAACAGTGTCAAATGCTTTTGTCAAATCAACGATCGAGGCATGCGGCGTATACATGTAGTTTGTTTGCCTCAGGTTGAGTTGTCAGAACTTCCATTGTTATGGTGTAAATATTTATTGATAGTTGACTTTAAAATAAAGAGATTGCCAGTAGTTTTGTGTTTAGTATTTTTGTGAAGAGTTTTCCAAGTATTTTTGTGCCAAGTTTTCTGAGTTTTTTTAATAATTTGAAGGATTTGATCCCGATTCATGGATCGGAACGATTAAGCTCTAATTCCATGATTTTGGGAAACTATTTGATGAGTATACAATATTGAATATTTTATGTTTAGCATTTAATAAATAACATTGACCATATATAAATATTCCGTTGCACCTTTTATCTTCAGTCGAAGCTTTTCCTGTTTTCATAAGTGTAATTGCTAGCTTTATTTCATTTTTAAGGATAGGACCATCTAGTTCATCTTTTATTCCCTATATTTTGTTCTCTATTTTGTTCATTCCCTATATCATTTATTTTGTTATAAGATTTATGCGGGTTAAATAGTTTTTTGAAGTAAAAAATCTCTATTGATATATATGTCGCTTGAATGGGTCCCTTTTTGAGCAAAGGTGGAGTGGGGTCTACAATTTCATTAGTGACTTTATAAATACAACTCAAAAATCATTCTAGATATAAAAAAACACCTTCGTTCTTGCAGGAAATTTTTTTTAGTATTTAAAAAAATAGCGGTGCGGTCGGCACGCCTCTACCACTTTTCCAGGTAAGCCACTGGGCCCAGGAACTATAACCAACTGTACGCAGTTCCTATGAACGGGGGAAGGGGTGGGTATCGGCTGGTATTTATTTCTTACACTAGATACCAGTCGATGCCCCCCCCCCCATAGGGACTGCGACTGGGCCGTGTTGTAAAACTGCATGTCACACGTTGAACGCACGAGGGCATCATCCAGTTTATGGGAATCAAATTCGAAAGATACAACAGTAAAACTTCACAGATTCCGACACAGTGTGAATGGACATGGTTGGCGATAGTTGTGTACACTCTCCTCTCAACTCGCGCGCCAGCAGTTGAGTAGTTTGCGTCCGAGAGGATCGTCGGAGAGAGCACAATAACTAACGCCGACCACGTCACGCCAGGCATTGATTAAACAAAGTTTATAAGATTTGCCAAAACCGCATTTGTAGTGATGTAAATAGTTTGATCCAATAAACAATATTTTTGACTAATAGTCTTATAAAGGTATTTTTGCATGTTTTTTTTTTTTTTTTTAGTTCTATCTGTTTACGCCTTAGGTAACATTCTAACCTCATACTAGCAATAGACATGCATGAACGCAATATACTGACACGCGAGATGTTTATTTGAGAAGTTTAGTCAGAAAATGCCAAACAAGTAAACACTTACACCTATCCTCCATATCAAATGTCTGATAGCAAAAGCCAAATTCGTGATAAATTAATACAAATTAATCAACGTGTCGTAATTTTCTCACTGAAGCCTCGCTTGTTTCTCGATTTCACCCTTTTGAAAGTCAAAGCAATAAGATTGAATTTCTGTTAAGTTTGGAGATTTGAGATTGCGGGGTTGACCCGTGATGGCAATTTCTGAAAGGATCACGTAGTTGAGTACTAGTATGTTAAACCATCTTCGGCGAAGCTTCATACGTACAAAAGTACAAACATGGTGTTGTGAGGGCGCACTTCCGAGGCCGAAGTGTAAGATAATGCCTGTTGACGCCCTCACAGGTCTATATAAAAAAATGGTTTTGTTTGGGTAAATTACATGTTTCACAAAGTTGTTCTTCGTGACACTTGTTGCAACGCATTTTAATTTATATTGGGTGTATGTAATTTTAGTTAAATTAGCCAATAAGCCCACTTCTGGGATTAATATATCTATTACTATTAAAGCAGAAACCTGGGCAGGTGTGAATCGATATTCAAAGAAAAGCAAACTATATAAACAATCATCTATTGTAAAATACTTTATTTTCACTTGGAATTTACTTATGCGGAAGTGATAAATCAGTGAAAATAAAATCCATTGAATATACCTATTTTCCCTATATTTCATATTCAATTCATCAAAAATGAAAAAAAATTCAATTTCATACAAAACAACCCAAATGCTTTTTCAGCGAAAATCAATGCCAGCTAAAATAAAGTATTTCACCTCGTTTGTTTCTCACTCTTGAAGCAAACCTAACACATGCACGTATTTTTTTGGGGACAAAATTCGAGTTTGGCCACTTGATCATAGGGATCAATCAATCTTTTTTGTATCTGTTACCGGTACAGTTTTATAACCTGTTCATTACACTGTTGCTACGGTCAGATAGAATTCTGTTCTGCAGTGTGTGCTTTATTTTCTCACTCGTATCAATGTAAACAGCTGCATATCTTTCACCTTACTAGGGGGTAGGTGATCAAAATTAGGGTTTGCAAAATGTTGCAAGTTAGCAAAATTGGTTCAACGGATCACATGAGGAATCAGTCGTAAATTACGAGCAAACTCCCCGCGAATAGGGCCTACATATAGAGCCTATAAACTAAATGTGGGTGGGTGGAAAAGTCAGCTGCGATTTAATATTTACATTTAAAAGTTATTGAACTTGGTACAGGAATCTATGCACTATGTTGGAAAAACAAAGAAAGTGTAAACAATGGACGTGGACGCGACCTCAATATTCAAATGGCGAACCCTTAAATGTGTGCGCATGTGTGTTGATAAACATTGGTCTTCCCACAATCCAATGCGCTCTTCTAATGGAAATCACAAGGATCATCTGTGCGCAACCACCGTCCCTCAACACCGTTGAGGGACGGTGGCGCAACGTGCACTAATTACCGCCGGTGATTCCTTCGATACCTTCCAGTTAAAGCCTGGGAACATCTCTAGTTTGTACTCGTTGAACTACGCAACAGTCAACGTCGCCATCTTTGTTTATACGAGAGCCATACATCTCGCACATGCGTGGCGCGACGACTACCGCCCTTTAATCTATTCCAGTGACATTTTGCTCACTCTTCACAAGGATTCCAAGTTGCTCACCTTCTGTCCTTACCGCTGATTTGTGCTCACATTAATGAAAGCTACAAGTTCAACACTCGTACTTCTGTTACAAGAGACTAATCAGAATATTACAAATGTTTATGATAGCTGCCAAGACCCACCACTAGAGGGCGTTTGACTAATAGTATAAGAAGCAGCGACACTTGTTGAATTTGGTGATCAGTTTAGTATGGCGAAAAGCATGTACAATCTACAATAATAGACAGGGTGGAGGTTAGGGCCTAAAATAAGTGCTTGCAGTTTCATGATAAATGCTTTCTATTACTAATTGCACTTTAAAATAATATTCACGAGATATGTCTTCATCATAACCTCATTAAGTTATCTGCATATTGTGTCAGTGCCAACGCTTCAGGTCATTCTTGCGTATTCCAAAACATGACAGAGCTGTGGTATAGTTGGTACAAAGTGTTCATTGATCTGGAAGGGTAATGCCACATACCCGCTGTAAATTGAAAGTCACATTCCCAGTGTTGTTGACATTGATAAATTTTGGCCAAGTCTATGGATCTACATCTACACACACTTCCACTTAGTGAGAGGATCCCCCTCACTACCAAAGCCTGGCATCACCACCCATTCACAACCACTGACAATCCTTCCTTCCATTAAAAACAATTAACAGGTATTTAAATAGTCTATGCTTTCAATGAACTTCACCAATTTCTAGTTCTGGTTGCCATAACTCTAGATGAAACAAAGTTTTGCGTCTACAATGCAGGAAGAGGAGTAGAATCTTGTTATGAAAGTAGACGTGCAATACGAATAATTATCAGCTTTCACTTCCCAACTAGATTAAACTTCCATTTCCTTTATTAAAGAGGAAGGAAATACAATGTGTTAAATCCATAGCATTAGATAAGGTTTACTTAGCAAGTCTTTCTCTTATAAAGATTGTTTCATTCAAAGTTATCAACATTCTTGCCACATCAAGATGTGCTGCAATGACTTATGTACATAGCTCTTCCTATATCAGTCTTTCTGATGCATTTTGTGTCATTAAACATGTTATTTTCAGATATTAGGATTTTTATCAACACAGAAGAGATATGGTTCCTCCCATAGATTTGCATAACACAAATGTGCGACGCCAACTACCATCGCAAATAAGAGTTGATAAATGTACACCATTTTTATAAGGCACGCAACAGAGACACGCGGCTGAACCAATAGACGAGTACTATTATCACCAATCGATAGAATGTTTATTCACTCACCAGCGCAGAAAGTGTGACAAAACTGTACATAACTATGTAGTCACAGCAATTTTCTCGAGGTCGAAACAGGATAAAATTACTTTGCTAAATGACGTCACTGTATTAGAACTTCCCATGGGAAGTGGAATAGCTAAAATTCCCGGACTTACTTTATTTTCCTCGTTCAACTTGCCACCAGAGTTATATGTGGTCTGGAGCACTAAAACCCAGAGGGAAAAAGAACATCAAACTAATGGTTTTTGTCAGTTTTGGTGTTCATGAGATTTTAATAAACATCATGGATTGGCGATGGCTACAATGGTGTGATGCGAGAAAATATTCTGCTTTTGTCGACTTTTAATTGCGATGCCATTTGGAGTCGCACGTTTGTGTTACGCAAGACTATGGGAGGAATCATAGCTCTTCTGTGTCTATAAAAATCCTAATATCTGAAAATAACAAATTTAATGACACAAAATATATCAGAAATGACTAAAATAACATCACAAAGACTAAATACCGACACAAGAAGAGCTATGGACCCATTAGCTAGATTTCACACAGCACAGTGGCAAACTCACACAATACAAGGGTCACCGATCTTAAATAAACCAAACATTGACAACAAAAGTTTACAAAAGAAATCAAATAACCATATTTATTTCTTATTCTTTGCCTTCATTCCATCAGCTCTCAAGCAATAACTACAGACCAGATTCGCATAGATTGAGATAGACTAGCTTTTCGTTTCACAAAACAGAATTTGTTTTTGATTTTTACAGCCTCAGGCATTTCACCAAACTATAATGCTTCTTATAAAACATTGCTGGGTTCTTTCAAAAGTATTTTTTTTTAAAAAACACCCTCCTTTGTACATAATAGAATTCATTCATTATTTTCTCCTTTTTGCATCTCTTAATGAATAAATACACAAGAATCTGAATCTTCTGTTAGATTATAGATCACTAACTAAAAACAAAGCAAAAGAAACATATTTGACAAAAGCCTCAGTTTTATACCCAATAAGCTTTACCTTGTATGATGATATGTACTCGTTCAAAAAAAAAAATAAAATAAAAAAATTAGTGGATTTGATCCTCTGTAGACCATCAGTCAAACTAAAAAGTACAGGATTTCTGTAATTCCATTTTTGTTATTTTGTTATTTGCGTCAAAATTTAAAGTAATTATTAATATTACATGTATTATCGTGACTGGCCATTTGACTGAAGGTTTCGGGGAGATCGAGAAGAGGAAAAGAGAGAAGAAGAAGTTGGAAAGTCAACAATTAAAGAATGAAAAGAGAAAGCGGTTGAAGTATCAGTAATGATTTAATGATCGTCAAAATACCCTTACAAAATAGGCAGATAATAAACTTAGCAACAATCGTAGTTTTAAGCTAACAATTATAAAACAAAAAAATGTGTCACATACACAATATCTACAGCATCACAAATTATTAAGTCACTACAAATCAACTTTTGTGGATAAACGCTAAAATTATCAGTTAAACGATAATACAAGTTAGATAAAGAGATAGTAAGAAACACACAAGAAAGAGTTCTAACATAAAATCTAGAAAAAATAAGAAAAAAAGTTACGAGAAAAAGTCAATTGTTATAGCTAGTAAAAGTTAGCCAACCATTTTAAAATGTCTAAATTAAAGGCCCCCAATAAGATTACACTGCTGATTTCCACAACTTTGAACATGAAAACCAATTTCCATATACAAATAGTTTTGACATCTTCCCTCTTCACTTGTGCAAAATTAAAGTTTTCTAATCAAAATTACAATGTCAAGACTAGTCCATATTGCCAAGAATAGAGATAAGTAGGAGCAGCTTACACAAGAATGAGCTGAGGGTGGTGTGGAAAGCACAAATTTTAATGTGTGGCTTTTCGTCAATGGTGTTTATTCCACTTGACCACAAAATAATTTTTTTAAACTCCTCATGACAAAGTGAAAAGCTTCTCCTGCAAACCACCTAACCAGAAATACATTGATGAGAAAAAAAAATGTACATCCATGATCAAATTTGTTTTTGTCACAAGCAAAATCCTTAGGTCTCTGTTGTTGTAGGACCAGAAGGGGGTAAAGAAGACAGCAGTAAACTTACATGAAATATAACTTGTAAAATTTACAATGAGATAAGCAAACCTGCAAAGCAGCTTCATCATTCTGAAAGGCACTAGATTGATTTTTGTTATTATACAAGTCAGTAAGAGAGATGAAAAATCAAAAGAATCATACAAAGAGGGGAGAAATTTGTGGACAGATACACGTTAACCTTTAATAACTAAGTTTCTCGTGATATATATAAATAATATATTCCCATAACAATACCAAAATATATAGTCAAGACTTGGTCTCCTTTTTAGATTTAAACTGGAAAAAAAAATCTGCATATGATATACCCTTATGATGCAGTTATTAATTGTAGTAATGGCATTCGTTTGAGATGCCAACACAAAAGGATAACACTAAACAGCTATGGCAGAAGCTCTAAAGCCGGAGAGAGACAGAACTGTTATAAAGTCACAGAATTGTAGGTCTCTTGAATAGTTTTGGAAACCAGTGAATCTTTGGCTTCTCACCTTCAATTGGTTCATGCCAATGGGGTTGTCCCATTCATAAATGGAGGGAGAGGCAGGATTGACAGGGGGATGTTTTATCAGAGCAATATCTCCAATGCGAGTATGTGGAGGGGAACGGAAATGTTAAACGACTCAAAACCCCTTGATATTTCTGAACAATCCAATAGTATTACATGAATGGATGAAATATTTACAGCAATAAAGATACAAAGAGCCACTTCTTTATGAGGTTACTTCACCTCCATACATTCACAGTCTACTTCACCCTCTCCCCCTCCAAAAAAACAAAAAAACACTGGCAATTATGTACATTGTAAATGTCCAAGCTGGTAGCTACTGATGGTTGATTTTACTAAAACTTGTAGTACTTTACTAATCAGCCTTCACTTTAGTAAAAAAAAAAAATGTTTTCAGATTTAAAAAAATAAATTTAATTTTTTTTTCTGAATTGAGGGCTGCCATAGCTGTCTAATCCCACGCAGATTATACACCACCTCGTACTGCGACAAGTTCTATATACGAGTGTATTCAGACCCAGACTGATGTGGGTCATGAGCAAGGATCCAGTGTCAACAAATAAACAAACAAACATACAAACAACAAAATATGATTCTTCCAAATATAAAATTCTATACAACTAATTAAATCATGGAAAACTATTTTATATTGTCAAAAAAAAAACTTTGCCCTTTACTTTTAGGGGGCTGGTAAAAACATTCAAAAAAAACCCATCTTTTCTGATGAATGAATTGGTCTTCCTTGCAAATTACAGACCAGGTGGTAAGGGGTGGGGGTCAAACATATACAATTATCCACCTAATTTACCCTCTGTCTACAATCAAGATTACTCAAATAAAATTAGTTCAAGTCATCCTGGATTGTCTTCTGGAATGTGGTACCTACAGGTCAATCAACATTTTGCTGAGTCTACCAATTCTATAAGTTTGTGAGAAATTTCCAAAATATTGCTTCAATCCACCCTTTAAAATCAAATTACCATGCTAATCTTATATAGAAATTTATTCCGCAATAAAAAGTATATCCCGTTTGTTATTGCTTTGGGTTTAACATGTGCAACATGTGTAACTACAACAATAATTAAAATACCCTAGATCCACCAAAATATATGTACAAACAGCAAAATGTTGATTGCGTCAACGCTTTGGTCTCTGTGTTTGGTCATCATCGACTTGTATGACATCGATATCTTCAGCCTCTCTCCTGTGTTTTGTTTTTTCTTGGATGGTTGGGTGAGGAGTTTTCTTACTAGATAGTGGCCTTAGAAAACGACACTCGTAAGTGGCTTGAGTTGCTCAGTTGGTAGTTGTGCATTGCCTGCAGAGGAAATCAAAAAACATTGTAAGATCACAATCATGACCTACTGGGAAATAATATAATATTGGATCTCTGAATAATAGACATGTATAAAATGACAAAAGTGTGTTGACGGTTAAAATAACTACATTTTTTATTGATCAAGCATTAATTCTAACTAGATGAGGCTGCATTAGTTATCCTGCGTAAAATTTACCTTCTCATTGCAATTAGGACATGCTCAGAACCCCAGTATGCGTGTTTGATGTTCTGGATAAAATGTACTGTAGTATATTTTGCCAAGTGAGCTGTCAGCCGAAAGGGTTTAATAACATAATTTCCCCACAAAACAATGGTGACAATCAGATTAAGAGGAAAGCGACTAATCGCATTCGATACTCACCACAAGCGCTGTGACAGCCTCTTCTATTGAATCCATCTGGATTAAGGCCATTTTGCGGTCTTTCCTGTAATAAGAAATTGATGGAATGACACATTAGGGTAAATCACACAAATAATTTAATCTAAAGTAGAACTGTTTTGGTTTCCCCAAGCTTTGCAATTCAATTTTTATTATAAGTTTATTGAGACTATTTTGTGAAATTTTGGGAAGTATTTAATGGTTCATCTGAATTTCCCTTTATCCCACATTAATGGTGGCTGCATCTTCATGAATCAATATGAATGGGAAAACAATTTAAAATTGTTAGCAATTGAAATTTGAACACAATTAAATGGTAAAATGATACAATTGCACTGGAAATGATTGAAACATTCATGTATTCACAGCAATTCCAATTATTTCACGTAACAGTCCTAAGACCTCAATACAGCTATATGAATAATTTCAGAGAGCAACTTTAAGTAATCAAAAACATGTTTTAGCTGACTTTTCACGGACGTTAAAAAATATGCAAAGTAATATACTTGAAAGAAAAACTTACTGGAAAAATTTAAAAGCACTGACTGATCCATGTCTGGTGAAGGCACTTGTGATATCTTGCTCTGTTACATTGGGACTGTAAAACAAAAAAATGAAAATTACACCACTGCTGGTGAGTTGAAATGTACCATTGATGCTCATTAATGAGAACGAGACAGATTTCACATGTGACAAAGCATCCAAATATACTTTCAAACTAAATCACATCTGCCAAATCGTCTAAATCCCATCTCAATCATTGTTTTAAAGTTGTTAATGTATTCATTAATAAAGGAATGACCGACTCGCTAGATTCATTTCTCAACTGATTTTGAAGACCTACATGTTGGACATAAAACAAGGATTTTTGAAGATACAGGTTAAGGTGAAACAAATTTTTTTTGGACATTATACATAAGTATTTATACATGTCATTGACACCTAATAGCTTAAATAAGTGCTTAGCCCGACTTATAGGAGAGGGTTTGACTTTTGAGATGCTTTTTGTCCTCGTATTTAAGAGTAGGTGATATTATTGCACACTTACGGAATGTTTGAAAGATGCAAGGTCGCCGAGGGCGGGTAAATGTTCATGAAGTTCTTTGACCCTGGTTTCTTGAAACGATGCAACGGTGAACTCTGAAAGTCCTTCGTTAACCCTGCGTCCTGTGGAATCAATAAAACTCCTAACATTAGTCACGACATACATATCACATAGATTTATAGATCTGTGTGAAAGTGGGATTACAACAAAAACTGTACAGACATTGGTTGATGACAGTGAAGACTGATTAGATCAAACTCACCGGCTGTCCTTCTTTCGGTAGCTGTACCAGTTGGTGTTTGGACAGCGTAATCCTGAGGGGCTTCCCAAACATCTTGATGCCATTGAGGTGAGTCATAGCTGCAAAAGAAAACAACGCATTTTTATAAACATGTGCAATGTAAGCGCAAACTCCTTTATTAAAGAGAGATCATCATACCAACTGTATGTTAAAATTGAAATTATACATAACACATTTTATCAGCATGTTTATACGTTGATGCATCAAGTATGGAACCATATGGAATATACATGGTAGCAATAAACACCCCGCTCAATGAACAGACGATGCCTTACCCGTTTGTGCTTGATGTGGTTCTGCTAACTGCACCAAAGCAGTGTCTTTCTTAGCAAATATTATTTTTACTCTGTGTACATCGCCATACACTCCTATAGAAAAGAAAATCACACCATTTCAATATAGCTTTGCTAGCATTAACAACGCTGAGCGGCAAAAAACAAAACAAGAACATTACAGGCTAAATTCCCTCTGAATATTCCATAAGCTAGACTGACCATATGAATCCGAAATAAATAAATAAAATAAATAGTTGAAAAAACAATAAAAACAAAGGGAATGAAGAGTAATTGAGAAAAGGTTTTTTGGAATTTGAATCTCAAGCGCAAATTTGATCTTTTTTCTTTTTTTTAAGGAATAGATAGATAATTTGGTATATATAACAGCTTACAAACAGAAAACATTGTTCAAGACAAAAGTTGAGACGCAATAAACAGCAAGGCCAACAAAACAAAAACTAAAATAATAAAATAAAATAACACCGAGATAATAAGAAATGGTTAATTGTTGTTGTCGGAAAAGTTAGAGAAAATATTGACGACTAAGTATAATTATAACATGCAGGCATTATATATGTGTATATATATACACAAGTGATACAGCTCATTTTCATGGTGCAAGAAATTAGCTTGATTTAGACAGTTTTGTTTAATTATATTACACAGCTGTTTTGTTATGTTAATCAGAATGAAAACAAAATAGAATTTGTGAAGTTTTAGTATTTCCTTTTTTTTTTTTATAGTTATCATGCAAAGTTTGAATTCTGTTTCGTCTACTTTGTCTGTTTTCTGTTCAGGAAACAGTGCAAATATAGTACACAAACAAAAAATGAGAAACAGTGCAGCTTAAAAATACTTAGCCTCACTCAGAAAATAAACAACAAACATGCAGTTGGAGGGCATGCAAGATATTTTGCTCTTATTTTTTTTTTTCTTCATCATTTTCAAATATAGACAAGTAACTAGTCACAGCTAGTCCAAACTTAAGCATGCAGAGTCAAGATAAATAGTTCATTGATTAAAACACATCAACTAAAAGCTAAGATCACTACTACACAGCTACTATGTTAAATTAATGACTCAAGAAAAATAACGTAAAAAGGGTGCATACCAAAGAGAGTAAAGAGAACTTCAGGCGTGACCAGCTACGTACGTACGTACGACACAACACAGGTAGAAGGCATATAGATGGGTAAGGCAATACAATAATATAACACAGGACACAGTAGTAGAGGGCATAGAGGAGAAATGGAAAGATGAATATCGAGATGGTCAGTGTCAGCTCATACAAAGCCATTCCATGTGAAAAATATGGACTTATTATTAGCATTTGGGGAGGGGGAAAAAAAAAGGATAAAAAGGTTGTTGATATATACAAATTATAGAAAAAATATATATAAATTGGTTGTAAGTTGATGTTGTGTAACGCTTTTGATATGAAGAATGCCAGAGTTGACAGTGCTATAATGATGAGTGTTATGTAGGAGGCTAGATGGGCAAGGAAGAACATCTTGATAAATTATAAATTTGAAGTAGCGAGAAAAAGTTGGAGGACTGTTAAAGCATTTACGAAACGTTATCTCCAAGACAGCAGACGCATCAGACATGCTAGTTAGTGGTGGCTACATAAATGTGAAACAGATGGTACACACAGCTGCTTACGTCTCCGATTATAACTTATGTATTATAAATATGATAGTTATATATATTTATATATAAAAAAACTATTAAAAATGATAACTAGCATGTCTGAGGAAAGTGCAACGACCCGAGCCTCCTCCCACGTAACAAACACAATGAATTTGTCGCTACTAGTATACAACTGCAGCTAGCGTTAATTTGTCAGAAAATAGATAATGAACCAGAATGATATGCCCAATTAAGTTTATATGGAAAAATGAAAAGAAGGTTTTTACCTTTGAATTACGAGCGAAATGGTCACTTAATGACAAAGACAAATTATAGCAGTATGAACTCTGACACTTTCCATATACATGTACATGTATATTAAATAATAATAAAAAGCTGTTAATTTATCAATGAATTCAGGTGTAATATGAAGCATTGATCATAGTTGAGAGCAGGGTGGTGTGGTGGGCAAAGCAGGCAGCTTGGCAACATACTGTAACCTAGAGAAAGAGAGTACTAAGAGGAAATCAAAATAATATAATAACGGTGTGCGGGATTAAAGAGACATGCCAACGAGGAGCAATACTGATGATATCCGGCTGAGAAAGAGAAACTGTAAAGTCACAAATGTATTACATGTTATTGAATGTATGTAAAAGGGGGCAGCATGCAAACATCATTTGAGAGAAAAAGTGAGAGAGAAAACAAAAACAATCTGGGGTATAAAACAGATTTTCTTGTGATATGCATTTGAATGTAAGAGTTAGGTGTTCATGCTTTGGGAGGTCAGATCTATAATATGAGGGAAAATAATAAAAATAACATGTGAACAGTGATATAAGGTGCTATGACAGGCAAGCCACCTCCCCTGCTGTTAAAAGCACGCATGCATAATTATATGATAGAATGTTAACATCCACAATGATTAGTTCATATTCATGAAAAAAGAAACATAAATACGACTCGTAGCAACGAGCCGTACTAAGAATATATTGCATGGCTGTGATGAAGCATGGAATCATGGGTTATCACAGAGCATTATGGGATTGCTGGCAGCTTCTCGGGTGATGAGAGCCGATCTACAGATGCGAGGTGAAAACTCTTGAGTACACATATCATGCAGGAAGACATTGTTAATGTAGACAATTTTGTAAAATTACAGGAAATGGGGGGAAAAAGTTTTGGGGAATACAAATAATAAGGCACAAAAGAAAATCTTGAATAAGTTTTTACATGAAATTGCTAACTGGAAGAAAGAGAAAAATAAATGCATGGGGAAAATGATTGAGAAATAGCAATTAATATAAATATATATACAGGCAACAATACATATGAGGTCATATTTACGATACTAAATATAAAGGAGCTAGAGTTATGGAATAAAGTGACATAAAAAGGCAGAAAAAATTATATTGATGAAATATGAGGACTACAAAACAACGGGCATTGTAAAGTAGTATAGGCACATTCAAGCTTAATGAATTATTGCTATGTTAACATGATAATCTATGATATAGAATATAGATAGCACTATAAAGACCCGTATTTAAAACCGAAAAGTCAGAAATATGATAGTATGCACTCTCTTTTGTTTCCCAGTTCGGTGCCAGTTAGTCGGAATTTCATAATTATTTTTGGTGTAATATCTAAATATAAACAGGCATTATTGTTTAACCCATCACTCTTTAAGAGACAATCACCACCGATATTACCACAAAACCATTGCATCACCATCGTGTTGGAGTTGGAGTGATCTGCTGACATGACATACCTCAGCGTTCAGGTTGCTGACCAATAGTACACATCCTTGCTGCTGCATCTGTCCGGCATAACGAAGTCCTGCCGCCGCAGCTGCTGCAGAAACGTGGGTTGGCATAGAGTACATCCCGGGCAGACCAGGCACTACGGAAATATGAGAATGCACAAAAAGATAAATTAGCCATTGAAATAAACAACTGTCCACCATTTAAGGCAATTTAATTACAATCTTCTTTCCCCGTACATATATTTTTTCACAATTTGTAAAATTATACACGAACATCATCATTTATAATATACAATGTTTGACAAAAATAAAGATTTTTTTTTATTTTTTTTTAATTTACTCAAACTAGACAGAAGTGGAAGAAACCAGTTCGAGATAGACAAATGTTCTTCATCACACCGGTCTGAACTGGTTTAAACTAGTTGCAACAAATCATGAAAAAAATAATTCACCAATATCTGTATCTCACAGTAGGCTCAAACCAGCCTGACTACCAGGTGAGAACCGGTCGCAACCAGATCAGATCAAATGAAACCTACTAACACATTCTGGTGAATAAACAGCACCTGCAATGAGTTCCACACAAGCAGCTACAGCATGCAACTAATGAACACATACAACAGAGTGAAGAGATAAGACATTAAATGAGTACAGATGAAAAGAAGGGCTTCGTCCTGACTTGCCTATAGAGAAAGAAAAATCTTTATCTTGAGCTATGAGAGAAAGTGAAAGAGAAACAGGGAAGGTAGTAGTAACAGCACATTTTTTTTTTGACAGTGGTTATTATGAAAACGATGTATACCTGTAGCACCATATCCCGCCAATGCTGGGTTAGCAAAAGCAGCACCCATGGCAGCAGCGTTTGGGGTTGGCAGCATACCTGGAGCTGCATTCCCTGCAAATACATACAGGGTGAGGGGTTCAGTTAGCCATATCATTTATATACTGGAGGAGGAGGAGGCAAGGAAATGGATAAATCTAAACAAATACATCTACATGAGAGAATTGATCGGTGGGTATGCAGTGAGAATGAAGTGCTTTGACATGACAACATATATACAATGTAAAAGATTCATAAATTTGATATATATATATATATACATTTTTTGATAACAGGTCTGTCTGAAAAAGAAACAACTAACTTCAAGGGTCTAAAAAGTTTGTTAAAAGATTAATCACTCAAGGATGTAAGTGTGACTGAATACTTTTTTCTCCCTCTCTTTGAGAGTCTTTTAATATGCAAATAATACAACTTGCTCAAATCTGCTGACACTCGTCACAGGTTATTAACATAACAGGGTCAAACCTAATGCGTTTTAGGCACTATTATTGCCAATGCTTCAGACATTTTGTTTTTCAACTGAAATTAAATTCAGATTCACAAACAAATATTTGTAAATGGAGTCTTTAGAATTACTAAAATGTTCTCAAATTTTTTTATATTTTCGGAAACGTACATCCTGAAGTGACTATACTATGCTGAAAGAGAAATTCGATGTTAGTTTCTGTACGTTTCCATGGTATTAAATTATGTGTGTGCATAACTGTTAAGAAAGACTGACAGACAGAACAAGTGCTGTGATACATATATATTACGTTACTAGGTGGAAGGAAAAGCACAGAACTTTTATTGGGTTGGCTGTGGTCCCGCCACCTGGCATTTTGAACACTCATCTAGCAAAAAAATAACCTTAACACCCGAATTATTGAATTAGTCACATACCGGCTAAAATATAAAAAAAAAAATAATCACCCAACTATTTATTTATTTATAGAAAAATAATAATATGGAAAAAGTGTGATGTTGGTGTAGATACAGAGAAAGAGAATAGAAGAGAAGAGTATTATGCGATTTAATAATGAATATATTATCTACCAGGTGTATCTGGATAATGCCAGTTCAAACCAGTTTCATTCGGATCTAGCATGATATAAATAGACCTACCAAACGCCATTGCTGGGTCAAGTGGAGGCTGGCCATCACCTGATGGGAGATCTGGTCGTGTGTAATCTCGGCTTTTGTCATTGTTGTATTTCACATTCAGGGTAGTCAGTTTGGAATAATCAATTCTGAGTGTGCAGCATGCGTTATAAATGTTTTGCCCATCAAGCGACTGTGGAGATGAACACATGAAAATGCAGATAAACTTGATGCATGGATAGAATAAGATTTTCCTTTCACTGTGAGATCTCATATATTGAGTGCATCTGCACAAAAAACGATTGGTTTTATTTTGAATTTTCATGCTGATTTTTCAGGAGGGAATACGGTGTTCTCCTATTCATCCAATCAATTCATTTGAATGTATCTAGAGTACCCCCAGGAGTTGACAACTGCACACTCACCAGTTTTGAAGCCTGGGCAGAGACCGCATCTGCGAACTGAATCAAGGCCTGAAAGGTGTCTGGAAAATAGCAAGAACAATGAATCAACAAATGTGTTTGTCGCAGAGTGAAGAGCAACACAGATTAGTGAATTATTATGCAAATATCACAGATTATGGTGAACTGTTTTCACCGATACACAATTTCCTGCGTTGTTTATGAGGACACTTGATGCAACATGGACCATATCAACCACAAGCATTGAAGACAAAGATCCTCCTTTTAAAATATGCATGAAAATTAATATAATTATAACTCCCAAGCAAAATGAAAACTATTCAATTAACTGATTGAAAGTATAACACTATACTTACTGTTTTTATTGAATGTGATAATTTTCAACACTGCACCAAATTTGGAAAAAATCTGATGCAAAATATCTACAGTGACTGGATAAAGCATATTTTCTACAATGACTCTCAACACAGTGTTCTGTCCTCCTAGCGTGTCTCCTGGATGTACACCCAGTGTCTGTGGCATTAGGGACTGTGCTGCTGCTAACGCTGCTTGTGCTGCTGCAGTCTGTATAAAAAGACAAAACATTTTATCAATGGATATTTATAAATGACTGATACCTAGCCTAGTAACACAAACATGCTTGATTTCTCAGCATTATTTCCTAATCATTCAATACCTACCAATTTCGCCATAAGGCAGTAAATTATTCTAACGCAAGCTCAAAGGAGTAAGATAACAATATGAAATTAGATAACCAGTAAAGATAAATTTGAGATCTATGTCAATGACTTTAATAAACAATGAATTAATACTGTTTTTCTTTCCACCCACCCACACACATGTAATAGATAAAACATTACCTGTTGCGCTGGTGCATTTTCTGTTTTTAATTCTTTATGATTTGAAAACTGTACATAGACCGGTCTTCCTCTGATGTTGGCTGTAACATGCGAATAGTAATTCACCATTGTCGTCGCAGCAGTCTCATTTTCCATCTCCAAGAAAGCCTGGAATGTGTCAATGATAATACAAGCATTTAATTACTACCATAAACTCTTTGAGTGCCAAAGTTTTGTCACTATGAACAAATTTTTTCTGAATTTTTCCACAATTTTGATTTAGACGAGCAGCCAATAAGGAATGATGTCCATTTGGATCAGAATTTATTAGAAAATTGAGAAAAATACATAAAAACTGCAAAATTTTACAGGGAAAAAATTTGGCGCTCAAAGGGTTAAAAAGTGGGCAAATATTTCATACATCACTAAAACATGCACTACAACAGTAGAACAACATATCACCCTCCTTCCCAAATACTTGTCCTAATGTATCCCACCTATTAAATACAATAAAGCTGAAATGTGAGGACCCTTGAACAGGTAATGAAGAGCACACTCTAGACAAAACACAAGTCGCAATGAGTTGAAATAAATCTACATGATGGTAAACTTACCTGGCTTTTACCTTTCAACAACAAAATGTTGGTAACGCGACCAAAAGGCACACCGAGGGCTATGATTTCTGATTCAGTAGCATCTGCAACTACATTACGTATGTGTACTACTCGGGAGGCCTTCCCATTACTTTTAGTGTCCAGCTTTACCTAAAAAAAATAAGCAAGAGAAATTTAGAGACAAGAAGAGCTCATCGTTAATCTCATTCGTGGCCGAGAGTCGGTACGTGTCGTGCATGTGAACAATCGGGACGAGTGCCGAGATTTGCTGCCTGAACACTCGTCACATCACATCGAACATATATCAAACAACACACTTCATCAAAGTCCATCGATATTTGTACCTGCCTTGGAGTCATTAAAAAATAACCAGAAATACTGAAATACAGAAGTTTTAGCCTTGAAGTTGGGAGGAGCCCACACAATAACAAAGTTCAAAGAATAGAAGTATTACAGTATTATTATAAATTTGTAATAAATTTGTAAACCGGAAATGGGTACTTTGGTGTTGGATGGTTGATGAAAACCAGCGATGAGATAAAAATTGTAAATAATCAATGAATCCAAACAACTATAATAATCATTACATTTACAAATTTCATTTAATATTGGTTAATGTCTGTTGAAAAAGATTATCCCTCCTTTAAAGTAATGTCAAGTACCAACCCTTTCAACAGGTGAGCCTATTCAAATCAACAAGTCGTTTTAACTGCTTGAAACACACGAATCATTTGAAGTTGTAGCCTATTGCTTCTATGCAATCAATTTTATTATATTTCAGGGTAATTCAAATATTTCTTACTGAAATGTGAAATTCGTTCCTTCAATTTTGAAATGTAAATACTGTTTTACTGTAAAAGTAATTCACAATCCAAAAAACAATTTTTTATTTAAAAGGCAAGCTATAATCTGCAGATTACACAGATAACTATAAATAACATTCACCCCTATTTATAAAATTTCTTTTTTAATAAATTGATAATTTTATAAATTGCAGGACAGTACATTTTTTGAAGGTCAACCAAGCAGAATGAAGAGCAAAGTTGATCCACATAGTAATACGCTGAACAAAAATACGAACAAGCTTGATGAAATCAACTACAATCCTACAGTTCTTGAAAATACAAGTATTACAGATGCGTAAACTATGCACCATCATTCATTATGTCATAATGAGATTCAATCGCGCCCAAAAGTAGAACAGATGTCCTGGCAACAGACGTGAAAGAGCCAATATATCACATCACAAACAACAACATTTATAAACCAATCTACACGTCAATCAATCATGAAAAGAAAAGAAAAAAAAATATGGTTTTCCCTTTGTGCACACAACAGCTATGGGAATTAGCAGTGGAGCATTATGCAAATGGAGATAGCAAGCAAACAAGCAAGGCAGGGAGAACAAGCTGTCATTCTGTAGATATTTCATGTTTTTTTTGTATAGGAAATGCATATTCATTCATGATGGAATTTTACCTGTTAGAAGAACCACCTCCCTTTATATTTAGCAGTTGACAATGAAATTAATTATACCACTGAATAAGAGAAAGCATTAGTGAACATACCCTGAATTAAATATGACCACTTCATCAGGTGTGGGACACGTGTCATCGGCAGTATGTTAAAAAAACTACATTGCAAACTAATGACGTGGAATAAGCCAATTAAATAATTCAGCCTCATGTTTTAATACTTCTATTTTGTACTTAAATGAGCAAGAGCTTTCACAATGAATAAAATGACATGATTTCACATCAAAATATAAACCAACAAAAATCTGACAATATGCACTACTGCTGAGCAAAGGCAAAGTTCAAATATTTAACAAGTGTCATTCCAATATCTACGTTTGAAACAAAATTGACGACTGAAATAAATTTAATAAAACAGATGTTCAAACATTAATATATTTTCCTACAGAATTAATGTGGGGGGAAAAATATAACTTTTTTTTTATAAATTCTTAAACCATAACATTTAGTAAAATAGTAGAAAATTCTAATAGGACTGCTTCCATGGCAACACTCCCAACAATATCGATATAGTATACAGAGCTAGTAAACTGGGTGATAACAAAACACACACCTATAAATTATAGCAAAAGCCGATTTTTCAAAATAATTATTATACTTTCAGTTTCTAGTCTTCGCACGTGATGACGATAGTTGCAGTTACAAAAAAAATGTAGCTGGGCGAGTCCACCATATGGAGTGTTTCACTCTCGCTTGTACTATGGATCAGGGAAGGCAGGCCTCAACAGGTGTTGCAGTCTCTCAACAGCTTTTAGGGCATTGTTTTTACTTGATGAAACAACCACTAAGTTAGCATTCAAACATCATGTGATCATTCACATACAGTGAAAGAAAAATACGCGTCTAAAATTACATGACAATTTCCAACAAGGTCAAATATTGCAAAAAAATGTCAATTTTTTTTACCTCAGTAAAACTGGCAGCACCGTCTTCCAACATCATCATTTGGACTCCTTATGTAAATGACTAAAGGATTTAAGGGCCCCCTGGGAAAGTCAAATTTAACAATGATAGAATTTTATGCAAAGCAGCTTTATAATGCCACTATGGTAATAAGGGCTTAATATTGAATGGAAAAAATATTGTTAATGCAGTATTGAAATTATTATGTATAAAAGGACTGTTCCATTGTCCTAAAAGCATGCAGAATATATTCACGTTGCATAGGGGAAGCCATATTTTACAAATAAATAGGCAGGTTAATTTTAAAGGGTGAAATGTGAGTATGGAGGAGTTGCTGGTAGGGGTTTTAACCAGGTGCCTGACCACAAAATAAGTCCAACTGTGAGACCTTTCACCCTTTCTCTGTAAATATAAATTTAACACAGATCACAATCTGAGAATGATACAATTTTAAAATCACATAAATATCCATAAATATTTTATAAAAAATATTTTGTTTTTATTCTATTAGTATCAGACTATATAAATATATACATGTTAGGATTATTTTAGCACAGCCTCGTTATTTGACTGAATATTTTGATAAATGAGAGTACTTTTAAGCATTCCTATATTTCCATGCCTAGAGGATAGTTGGATTTTAACGGCCCAGGTATGTGCTTTTACGATCAAATACAACTATTTTTAAATGTCACTAAATTGTTATCAATTTGTAATTTACATTGATGGGTAACTCACGACATAAATGAAATAATTATGATACTGGCTACGCTGGATTATTAAAAAAAAGTTCGAGGTTTATGCAGGCTTCTGTTATCGATAACTATTTGACTTATTACAAATACTTCCATCTACAGTAAATGTATTAATTATTCACGTGGCTTCAATTTCACCATTATGAAATTAGAAACCATTGAACATTAGTGTTACAGTAGTTTGGCAAGTGGAATTGGCAGATATTTAGAATACTGACGGCATATTAGATACTATTTTCACTCATCCATGTGGGGATAAAAAAACATGATCGATTTGTGAGATCTCTCTTAAACAAGGCAAGGATCAGGTAAAGAAATTCATATAAATTTCGCTCAATATTATCTAACAATGTTAATGTGTAGTCATTTTTTGGTAGTGAATCAAAACAAACTCTTTTTTCTTCTCAAAAAAATTATGATATTCATAATATTTCTGGGGGGGGGGGCACTAAATGATGAAACAAATCACATGGAATATATTTTTCACTTCAAATCTGAAGTTTTACAGCTTACTACAAGTTATACGCAGAGTATGGCACTAGGGAAAACTGATACTGGTAAATTATATTTCCCCAAAAGCAGACCTCGATAAATATTATACAGGTATATTTCTTGTATGAGAATACCATCAAAAGCTAACAATGACTTATGAATATTCATAACTGCTTAAAAAAAACATTCAAAATACATTTACAATCGCCTTCCTACAATCGCAAACAAAATACTTTGTTCAAAGACCTCCTCGATCTTTGACACAGAAACCACCTGAAATATTTTCACCTGGGGATCATGAAAGTCAATGGAGAAACAATAAATGGTAAAAGGGATCACAGAGACAGCCTGACCTCAGTTATAGACACATTTCAAGTATTGTATTTCCAGACTCATATTGATCACCATAAAACTATAGAAATTGTAATCAGACACTCAAAACTATTAATAATTCCAATCTCAAAGTAGTGAATTTTAATTTACATATCGCCTGAAGGGGTAGCCAACAATTTCCAAGTAACTGAATTGACACTGATGGTTCTCTGATAAGTTGGCATAATTATAACAATATTTCACAGGTTACCTCGTCTTGGCATAATAGAAACATGTCCAATAAACATTTAAATTTTGAACTTGTAATTGTGTTTTCAAGGCAAAACTAAATACTGTTGCTATGGAAATAATTGTGGCAACTTGTATTTTGTTTCCTGTTAACGAATATGATGGTAATCTAAAATGACACCAAATGCTGCTTAGTGTTAGTTAACTTTCAAGAGAGTTGCTTGCCACAAAATGTGAAGTCGCTGATAAAACAAGGTGATTGCGAGAATACAGTTAGGTATACACCAAAGCAGTAATATAATCATTATTGACTGACGTGTACAGTGTAGGCAGATGTGATCGTGTAACTGCTGAGTGTAATACTACTACATCTTTGTCTGCTTGTAGGTATAATTTACTGAGATATCATTCAGTGAAGGGATTCTACTCATTTCACACAGTACATGCATGCTAAATTGTTGCTGCGTCTGATGTCAAATGAAAATGTTTGAATGACAGATAAATGACACACTTTTCAAATAAGAAGATACAAGATAAATAAGATGTTCAAACACATTTGAGCAACGTATCCATACGAGGAGAAAAATGTGGTTCTCGCTTCCAGTTGTACAACAATATATTGTCAATATACTGTATGCAGGGAAACAGGGTTTACAATCAAGTTTTGGGAAGTCAAAACATGCTTCATATATATTTGAGTAATCGGAGGCTGTCCAATTACTTTTCTTCTTTTGTTTGCTAAATTTTATACTCAATACAGAACCAAATACCGAGTGCTATAATTCTAAACTTGAGTTTTATAACGAGGCCATTATTTGAGCACCACTGACATATAATCAATATTTGCATTTTAAAAGCTTTCCACAATAATTTAATATGTTGGAATCGATACTCCTATAAAGAACACAAACGCCTTTTACTTTTATTTCACTAAAATGCAATTTCAATAGAGAATTACAAACGTCACAAATATGGCTTGACAGCAGGGTCGCCTTTAATAAAAGGTAAGTCTAATAGAATTGATGTTGATCTATTCTATAAAACATAAGACTGTATAAACATTGTACTAAGCACATATACCAACACATTAAATAGAACAACGTTTACAAACAGTCCGCTTATTCATAGATGTAAGTGGAGGCAATAATTATTTGTATTATAAAGGTGAATTATACACCACTGATGTAATTCTATTGGGCATGCTGCCAACTGAAAATATCATGATGTTAATAGCAAGAAACTGTGTTTTCAGTTTTAGTATGGGTTCTCAAACACAGCTTGGAATAACTATGTGGTCAACAAAATATGGCTCTCTTGGCAAGTAGGCTGATTGGAAGAGAGGGAGGGAGGGAGGGATGGAGGGAGGGTTTATTATGGTGCAATAGATGAACATATGTTGGAGGCAGGAGAAAGGTAAGAAGGTGTATTATAAAGGAATGCTGTATTAGGGGTAAGGTGAAACAGTATATTGGGAGAGGTGGGGAGTGTTTTGGAGAGTATATTTGGAGATGTAAACGTATTACAGTGTGTGTTGTGGAAAGTGCATTGAGAGTAAAGGAAATGTAGTGTATATATATATATATTAAGAAAATGT